GGGATGATGTGGTCCATGTTGGAAACCCTGCTCTGGCTCTGAGTGGAGGATAGATTACAGGGAGGCGCCTGCAGTGGTCTGTGGGGAAGTAGGGTGCCCTGGGTCAGGCCGTGGCCATGCAGAAGGCGGGGGTGGCATGGGCGAGAGGGTGAGGCCCAGAGGCCTCCTAGGTTTCAGCACTGGATGGGTGCTGACGGGCTGCTGGCGTGGAGGGAAGGGTGAGCTCTGGTTTGGATGTGCTGGTAGGCTCCAGGGGGACATCCAGGACACAGGTGGCCGAATGCTCTTGTGCTCAGGAGGGCCCTTGGGCTGTGGGCAGTGGGGAGGGCTGGGGGAGCTGGGGTCAGGGGGGTGGCTCCTGGCCCTGAAAGTCTTCTCGCAGTGTCACAGCGTCCCCCAGCCCCCCCCTCTGGTGTGGCCCTGCCCTGCACATAGCCACCAGGCCTGTTCTCAGGGCTGTCCTCTGTCTGGCTCTGACCCTTCCTGTCGCTGGTTCATTAGGTCTGAAATAGCATCCCTCTAGCCTATGACGGCCCTTCATCCTCCCCTGGCTGCCAGGGTGACCTTTCTCCAGTGACCTCCCAAATGTCATGCCCTTTCACGCATCCGTGCTCACAGAGAGCCCCCTGCCTCTCCCTCCCCAGGCCCACCCCACCCGGAGAACCCAGGAGCCTCTGTCTGTGCACCCCCACCACAGCCCCAGCCTCCAGGGGGCCTCAGCTCAGGGTTGCTAAGTGGTGGCCCGATTGCAGACCCATGTCGCCACGCAAGCACTGTGACAGGGTGGTTGGACTGGCGCCATAGCCCGGTGGCTAAGGGGATGAGGTCCCACATGGGCAACCGCTGTTCAGATCCGGTCCCCATGGCTTGTAAAACACTCCAGGCACATGTGTGCGTGTCTCAAACCCCAACAGGATGGAGGAGTGGAGAGGGGGCTGTGACACGGCCATGCCCCGTGGTGCGCCCTCTCTCCCTCTCTCCCTCTCTCTCTCTGTGGTGAGCACACTTGCCCTCTGACAACTAAAAAAGGAAGGTGGCAATGTTGCAGAGTGCCACCGAATGAACGACCACCAAAGCCAGATCAAGTTTAAAGGGAGTCTTTATTTATTTATTTATTTATTTTTGGAGAGGTTTTTGCTACAGGGCGTGTGCGCTCACCAGAGAGAGACAGAGAGACAGAAAACGAGAAATCACCCCCCAGGGGGGGATGGCCACGCCACAATCCCTTCTCCTCCATTCTCCTCTCGGGATCTTGGGCACGCACACACATGCGCCTGGCG